CAACCTCTCTTGACCATGTTTCAAGTTTTCCCTGATTCTACCTTGAACCTAACACACAGCCTTACGTAAAGTAGATACCTTATAAGAATATGATCAAATATTAGTCTTATGAAATTTACTGTAGCCAAATCAATAAAGCCTCTATGGATCACATGAAGGGGCATGGGAATCACTGTCATACACAGAGTCTATTGCCTCATGATTTGCAATACCAGGATTCTCCCCTGTAGAGAGCCGTTCTTCTGTGTGTTCTCCTGGTAAATCACTGGTAACAACTAGAAAAAAATTAAGCCCACCCACCTTCCATTTCTTTCACTTGCCAGTCAGAGTGACGATCTTCTATGGTTTCTCCTGTTTTATGCTGTGCTAAATCTTTTAGTAATATCCCAAGCTGAGCAGGGTTGGTAGTCAGTTAAGACTAAAGCTTGTGGCTTTCGGCCAGGTGCGATGGCTCACGCCTATAATCCCAGTACTTTGGGAGGCTGACGTGGGCAGATTACCTGAGATCAAGAGTTTGAGACCAGCCTGGCCAAGATGGTGAAACCCCATCTCTACTAAAAATACAAAAAATTAGCCAGGTATGGTGGCACATGTCTGTAACCCCAGCTACTCAGGAGGCTGAGGCAGGACAATTGTTTGAACCCTGGAGGCAGAGGTTGCAGTGAGCTGAGATCGTGCCATTGCACTCCAGCCTGGGCAACAAGAGCAAAACTCCATCTCAAAAAAATAGGTAAATAAAAATAAAAAATAAATAAAACTTGTGGCCTTAATGATAGAATTTATGTGATACCTGGACACTTTTGACCTCAAATATTTTCCCCATTCTTCCTGAAATTCTTACCTTTATGCTCACTGACTGAACATGTGTCTTCATTTTGCTGAATACCTAAAATTCCATCATGAGAAGCTCATCTCTTTACATTAACAAGCTTCCCCCTTTTAATATCTCCAGGGCTGTCAGCACATGAAGACAGGCAGCTGTCATCAACCACTTTGGAAAGAATTCATTTAACTGACACAGCCGCTCACAGATGCGGTCTCTTGGTGTTGAAATCTACCTTCTTGGCGGTCATCCCACAAGGTGGTATGGGTAACACTGGAATTTTAATTTTAGGGAAGTGGGGGAGGCAGTGATGATATTTAAACAACCACTTCCAAACCAGACTGCACATCAGAAAGATGTGAGTCATTGTAAATACTAAATCCTGAACCCTAGTCCATAAATATAAGTCGCATAGTGGCTCAGGAGCTAGTATGAGGAGAGCAACGCTTAGTTGAGGTTGGGCAGGTATAGCTAAGCCACGGGAGAGAGAAGCTACTTTGTCAGGGGGCGGCCTAAGGCCATTAAGGGGCGGAGGGTGAGAGCAGAGAGGTGGTTTAGGGTGGACCCCGCAAACGTAGGTTACTCAAGCTTTCCTTTTTGTTGCAAAAGTAAAACTTCTCTACTTTATAATTTTGCTTGGGATTGTGTCTTCTGGCTTTGGATAACGCTAGAAGACGATTGACAAGGGACAACGGCAACAATGCAATGAAGGCAAAGGGGGTATTTGGAAAATATTTTCACACTAAATACGGTATAATCAGACGTAGTCATAAGAAAGAATGGTGTATATGGACAGCTTTAGAGTGTTTACACGTGTGGGCACATGTGTGGTGCGTGTGTGAATGTGTATTTGTGTTCAGGAAAGGGTACAGTAAAGAAAGATTAGACAGGTAGAATAAACCTTTTTATGACATGCCAAGAAATTTGCACTTTATCCTCCATGAGCTGAGGAGCCACTAACATTGGAAACAAAGTGGTAATTGGATACATGTAAGTGTCTTAGAAAGATATCGCTGGTGAAAATGTAGAGAATAGGTTGGAGGGATAAGAAATAAAACCCTGTTTAAAAGTTACATACACACAGAAGATGAGGGACTTATCTGGGTAGTAGGCGCTGCATGAAGGGAGGAGAACCAAAAGAACTTGGAGAGTAGCTGCGAGGTTCAAAACATGGGGACAAATTCCTGGCTTCCGTGTTTGTGTGATGATCATACTGCCGTGAAACAATGGTAGCCAACAGAGGAGAAGATTTTGGAAGGCACTAATTAAAATCAGTTTCAGAAATGTTGAATCTGGCTTATTTACAGACTATCTAGCTGGAGAAATTTGGTGGCTGATGGAAATACTGATCTGGAACTCAGGAAGCAAGTCTGGCTGGAGATAGTGACCTGTGCAGGGAATGGGCCCAGAGACACTCTGTAGAATGAAGAAGAGGATTCAGGATGAAACTCTGCAAACACCAACAAGAAAAGAGCCTGTGAAGGAGAGGAAGGGAGGAAAGGAGAAAACCAGGAAGAGAACAGAGGCCTGAAGTGCAGGGTGTTTCAGGAAGAAATTAAATATTGAAAGAAATACTTTTTTACAGTGAGAAAAATTAGAATATTTACAGACTGAGGGGAAGTTACATGAGGGAGAGAATCTGAAGATGTGCACTGAAGAGGGCTGACTGCTGGGTCAGGGTTTTAGGGCTGATGAAAAAGATGTGATCTAGAACCTGTCTGGAAGGAATATCCTTGGCCTGTGAACACACTAAAGAAAATGTTTCATTTTAAAATTACACTTGCTTTCTTCCAAGGGCCTATATTTAGTTCACAGATTACCTAGGCATCTGACGTTCTGTCTTTTTCATCCTCAAACTGCCCATTTACCATTTCCATGATATTAAGCCCTTAAAAATGAGCAATGAAAGGTGATAAATATGGGGCTAAACTATGAGTACAGTTTCTTAAGTACCTGTAAAAAGGTTTCTGGAAAGCAAATTGAATGTAAGTGTTAAAATGAGATTTGAAGGTGATATGTTTCTAAAGTGGTTTGCATGCACTCTGGAGAGGATGTCAGATGTGTAAACACACATGTATTTTATGCATATTAACACGTATATGCATGTATGTTATGTATATACAACTATATACTCAAGAAACAGGTTTTCTCTTAATTTAAGGTCATCATAATTAAGCTCTGTCACACACATAACTTATAAATTTGAACCTTTGTATATGTTCATATTATGCAATTGTATATGCATATAATTTTTAAATAGTTGTATGTGTGAGTAGTGACAGTGAATGAGAAATGTTATACAGATAGGGTAATGCCATACAAAATTTAAATACCGTTGAGCTAGAGATTTCACTTATTCGTGTTAACCTGGGATACTCATGGTATCAAAGAATGATGCTGCTTCTCCAGGCACCTCAAGTGATACCACAAATGACAGAGTTTTCTTATGATGATCTGAAATTAAGAGAAAACCTGTTCCCTGAGTATACAAATGACTGGAGCAGGGGGAGGGAATAAATACACAGAACTGTTGCAGATGTTATTTTAGATCATCTCTGCTTGCTTGCCCTGGTGAGTCCTTATTAATGCCAGGTTAAGTCTCTGTTCCTACCTTCATGCCTTGCAGCACTACATTCCACTAAAGCGTTGCTCACTGCTGTTTAAAGAACAAGCCTCAACACCTCAAAGATAAAGTGACGTTATGTTTCCATAGCTTCTTTTAATACTGTTGTTTAATATGTTCCAATAGCTTCTTTTAATTACAGAGGGATGAAAAGCTTGGGTTTATATTTCTATTAGCTCATTTTCAATGTGATGTACAACTTTACCTGAAACCCCTAGATTAGGGTTGGTGGTCCCGCAAAACAACTCTTGTTGCTCCCGGGGAAAGTATCTATGAAGCACCCAAAACAGGTGAGAGAGAAAACCTAAGATGCCCATTGTCTGCTGGGGCTGGGGACAGTGGCGCTATTTCCTTCTTGTCTCTGACCTGGAGAAAATGCCACCAGGTTGACGTGGATTAGGATTCATTGCTCTACAATAAAGAATAGCAAGTGGCTCAATGCCAGTCTCAAAGGAGGACAGCTTAGGAAGCATTTACCTCCTTTGTAAAAAAAGCACACACACACACACACACACACACACACACACACACACACACACACTTTAAAATCAGAGACTTTTTTTTGTTTTGTTTTGATCACTGTTCAAACTATAACATACAAATGTGACTCCTCCCTCCAAGTAAACTAACGTACTTAAATTTGAGCACACTCTAGTTCTGCCTAATGGTCAGAAAAAAGTACTCACGTGTGCGCAGTAGTCCCACAAAAACTCCCCACCGCAGCCTTATTTCCTCCTCTTAGTGTAAAAGAACTCAGGAGGTGGGCGGGCCCCACCGCCACAGCAGTACAGTTAGAGCCGCTGCTCGGCTCATTCTCTCATTATGGCATCTAGGATCCACAAATGGAAAGAACTTTTCCTGGCTAAGTTTACATTCGTTGAATAGTCGACTTACAACAATAAGAGGAAGGCAGAAGGGAAGGAAAAATTCCCCTCTGCCAAGTACTTAAGTGGTGCTTGGTTTATTCCAAGTTCCCCCTGAGAAGAAACACAGTGCTTCGTCCTCAAGTAAGAAACAGAGGCATTATTCACATCCTTGGGTTGAAAAATAAGCATTTTGGGGCTCATAGGCTTCTGCAAAGCACTGTGCTGGGGAGCTGCAGGCCGCCGTCAGCACTGGATTTCGGGTTCCCCTGGTCCCTGGCAGGCGCAGCACCTGTCCCAGCCAGGGGAAGTTGGGCTGCAGGACCCGCGGGCTCCAGGACAGCCGCGGATCCCCACACTGCCCATGCCTGAGTGTGTGCGTGCAGGTGTGTGTGTGTGTGTGTGTGTGTGTGTGTGTGTGTGTGTATACCTAAAACCAAAGCACTCACCGAGATGACTTTGGAAAGTGCTTAACAGACAGGGCCAGACACGCCTAATAGGGGCAAGGACTGGGAGAGCACGAAGGGGAGTAAGAAGTCTCTCTTTCCAAGCGGCTCCTGATGGCTGGGGGCACGAGTCCACGTGGAATCCAAGGGGACACTCACGGAGCTTGCTCCCAATCCCTCCCGCGCGCCCCCGGGACCCGCGCGAGTCCCTCCTGCAGCCGCTGCGGAGCGAACTCCCCTCTTACCTTGACTGAGCGCTAACACCAGCCGCAGCCGCAGCGGCGCGGCCCCTGTCCGTCCTGGCCCCATCCCGGGTCTGCCTGGGGACCGTAGCCTCGCTGGGTTTGCGGAGGATACCCTTGATGGAAGGATAGGAGAGCCTGCACACTCTAGAAGCTGTCGGGAGGGCCTCTCTCCCCCGCCCGCCCGGTGAGAGCAAGGAAAAGTTGCTGGGCAGCTCCGGCAGCTCGGAGGGCCCGCCCCCGCCCCCCCCCCCCCCCTGTACGAACACCGGATCTGCCCCCGCCGCGCCCCGCCCCACCCGGCCCCGCGGGCTGCACCTCTGCTAGTCCACGCCCGGGGCACCGCACCTTGGCTCCGGTACAGCGGCCCAGCCCCGCCAGCCTGGAAGCGGTGGGGATGGGGATGGCGCCCTGGCAGGCTTTCCTGCTCTGGACGGGACGGGTGGGCACCTCCGACGGGCGAGCGCCCGCCCCCGCAGCCTGTCGCCAGCCCGCAGGAGATGCCCCAGTCCCCGGGAGGACACGGCCCCGCCGCAGCCCTCGGCAGCGCCTGGCTCCTGGCAGCGGGCGCCGAGGGCACTAGCCCTAAACCACAGTGCCTAGGGGCTGCGCGGTGCGTCGCTTTCTCTCTTTCCTAAGTGGGTGGAGAAAGGGACAAAAATAAGCTTAGAATGACCAGGTTAGAAACTAACTCATCAGGAAAGAAGATCTGCTCACAGGTCATGATTATCCGAGGTGATATTTAAGCAATACCTGCTGCAAGAGCTGCGTGCGAGTGTGTGTGTGTGTGTGTGTGTGTGTGTGTGTGTGTGTGAGAGAGAGAGAGAGAGAGAGAGAGAGAGAGAGAGAGAGAGAGAAATCATCATTACTTCCTCTCCTCGGAGATATTAAAGAGCTAATTTAATGACGGAGTTCGGGAGACTTACTTCAAGGCCAGAGAGAAGGCTGAGAGCCCATACATGCACTGTGACTCTCCCTCCCTATAGTACACCGTGATGTAGACTGTGACCATTTTCTTCCATTATTTCAGCCTCACATCTGGAAAGAGAACATTCTATATCCAAGATTTTTACTTAAAAACCTAAGAAATAGGAAATTCATTTTTCTTCTCTAAATCTTATGTTTTATCCCTAAGTTCAGCCACAAATTTCCCTGCACATTGCCGAAACCAGAATTCTTCCAGTGACTACTTTTGTGAAGGAACAAAATGTTTTCATAAATCAAGCTTAAGGAGTTATGAGTCTAATAATCATCATTACTGTCATCGTTCCAGATCTCATGGAATGCTACTATGAGCAGAGTGGGATGCCTGAGATACTGCCTCTAGGAAGCAAAGTGGCTCAAGGTGGGAAGGACTTAATAATTCATAAAAATCAAGCGCTTCTCTTTACCATAGGTGGGGCTGAAGTATCTCATTGTTAAACTATTAAATTGGTATGGATCAGATGTTGCTGCTGACGGGTTATGACTAAAACCTTTGAACCCAAATTATATAGCCTCAGGCTCTTTCCTGTTTTCTTATCTGTCATTTACTGACTCACCTTGACAAACACCTAAGGCATTTTTTTTCTGACCTGTCTGCAGGAGTCACCTGCTCACTAAAACTCCAGCTATCACGGAGAGCTTTTAGGTGGCCGCTCACTAACCCCTGACACAACTTTGACGCTCCTCACAGACTTTTTGAAGGAAGTGAGCCAGGTTTCAGGGAGATGAATATCTGTCTGTTTCCTTCTGACTCACTGAAATGTGAGTAAGTGTTTGGAACAGACCGGGTTTGGGAGGCAGGACAGTTCCTTTAATGTGAGACAGAAATTTGTGCTTTATCTCTGGGGGTGGGGGGAAGTAACATGCATCCTTCTTGGTTTTTGTTCTCAGAACTGGACAAATTAACCTTACACTGGCATGAAGTGCAGATAAATCAGGAGCTACAACTTTCCAGAGCCAGGCAAAAATTTTAAGAAACAAACAACAAACTCCTGCATCACATTTATTTTAAGAGGATGAAGGGTTCCTGAGATAAAGCAGTTTGAGAGCCCCTTCCGAGGTGCCCTCCTGCCTAGGTGCAGTTGTGAGGGATACCGCATTCAGAGCAGGAAATATGGAAGGTTAAGCTGGGGCTTCTCAAACTCTTTGGTCTCAAGAGCCTTTTACTCAGTAAATCCTTTAACAAAAAGTCTATTACATGTGAACATAAGTAATATATATTTTATGAAAAATAACCATATTTTCCAAGTGAAAGAATCCAGGAGAAGAATAGCATGTCTTTACATTTTTACTAATTCTTTAAATATCTGGCTTAAAAACAGACATTTGGATTCTCAGATCATCTTCTGCATTCCATCTGTTGTGGCATGTAGTTTTGGTGAAATTATATTGATTCATCTCGTGTTGTACAAATATGGACTTAGAAAGAGAGGAGGTAATTCTGGATAATTCTCTGATACTACACCAAAACTCAACCAGTGGTAGTTTCTTAAAGTTGCAATGTGAATCTGAAACCATATCAATGGGTTTTCCTATTCCATGGCATTGAAATTCATTGACCTGAGGGCCTCTCCCTGTCTCTCTCCCTTTCTCTTCCTGTGAGTGCCAGCTATGAAGATTACAATGACGACCAGTCCCCATCCTTGTTCTCGCACCATCAGGGCAAATGTCAACACAATGAAAAAGACAATAGTGTCTCAGCATTGTTATGAAAATGGCTTTGACTTCCCTGGCCACTTGAAAGGATCTTGAGACACCCAGAGACCCAACTCTGAAAAGCACTCAGGGGTGAGGTACGGCCTTTCCCTTTTTTTCTTTTCCTTAGCTCAAGACAGAGTTTTGTTGGGGGAGATGGCTCAGATGGGTTTCCCCAGTGTTTCCTGCTTTCTTCTCAGGTGCACCGCTAGCCCCCTGCCAACACCCTATACCAATTCTGTCTTTACCCCCTGCTAGGGTTTTCTGTGCCATCTCCTATTTCCTGTTCCACTGCGACTCTCTTTAGTTCAAACCCTTTTGATCTTTCACCACGATGACAATTTCCCAAATGATCTCTCTGTGCTTCCTCCTCTCCTGTTCCAGTTCATCTTTTATACCTCTTGTCACACTTATCCTAAAATGCAGGACTGATTGGCTGAAAATAATTGGATGTCTTCAGGACATTCAAAGTACCCTAGTATTTAAATCAAGGTCACGATTGGGCCCCGCTCACCTCTGCAGGCCCTGTGCCTGTCTTTCCCTCTTGCACACTATTTTTAGGCCAGACTCACCCATTCACTGGCCTGCCTTTCCCATTCATCGTTGCCAATTTCTTAGTTGTTGTTCTGCTTAGAATGGCTTTTCTTTTTCCTTCCATTGTTTCAAACTTCTGCTTAAAGACTCCAGTCAAATTTCATATTATAAGCCCAGCCTCCCCTATCTTCTTCATTGAAAACTAATCTCTCTTCTTTCTTGGCTCCAGTTTCCTCTAATTTTTTTGTTTTTGTTTTCCCCAAATAACCTTTATTTTGTATGTATTACCGAGTAACTTAAATTTAGTTATATGTATATACTCTACCTTATTTAAATGCTGGGTCTCTGAAATCTTACATATTTTTGCTATAAGAGTCTAGTCCTATACCTGATAAATACCTTTCTAATAAATATTAATAGTTGCTATAATACATTGAAATGAATTTCCTAACAATTCCACATTCTTCTCCCTACACTTGAAAAGGGTGGTAAATATGAACTTCTATGTAAGTCCTAATACATTTGAAATGAAGTAACCAGTGACTCTTGCAATGTTAGTCAATGAATCCATGACATGAGTGAGCAAAGCTCAGAATCCATTGAGCTTGACTCACATGCAAGGCTCTAAGCACTGGCTGGGGATGAAAGAGATGCTCCTAAACACAAACAAAACAAATTAATTCCAGGCTTCCTATCTTCCTGGGCCCATCAATATACCTGTGAGTCGTATTCATTTTTTGATTCTAGCACAACTACAAACAACTGGCCTTACTTGTTTTCATGCGTGTGGCAGACAAGCAAAGTGATTTGTCAGCCCTGCCAACATAGCTTTCTTGGAGTCTTCCATGATTCCCTTCTAGAAGTCAGTGAGTCACATAATCCTGTCTCCTTGTCACTAAGGCAATACACCTGACCAAACTCGATCAATCAGATTCTTTCTCTTAAGGATTTATATTCATGGTACAGAGATTCCAGAATCTTTGCCGAACACGTGGAATGGAAATTTGTGTTCACTTTGTACAACCATTTTCTTTTCTTTTTTTTTTTTTGAGACGGGGTCTTGCTGTGCCGCGTAGGCTAGAGAGCAGTGGTGTGATCACAGTTCGCTTCAGCCTCGAACCCCTGGGCTCAAGTGATCCTGCTACCTCAGCCTCCTGAGTAGCTGGTACTACAGGCACGTACCACCACACCTGGCTAATTTTTTAATTTTTATTTTTATAGAGACAGGGTCTCACTGTGTTGCCAAGCTGGGTCTGGAACTCCTGGCCTCAAGAGCTCCTCCTGCCTCAGTCTCCCAAAGTGAGGCACTATGCCTGGCCGATTCATTTTCTTAATGAGTATAGAAAAAGCCAATCTGCACTGCTGATGAAAAGCAGAGAGAGAGATGAGAGACCAAGAAACTGAAGTGTGCATGCGTGAGACAGACAGACAGATAGGCAGACAGAGAAAGAGAGAGACACACAGAGAGATTGTTCTAGTTCTTTTAATTTTGTTTGCAGTTGTGTGAGATCTGGCTGTTCTTCTTAGGTTTACTTCCATGAAATATCCATTTATCATTCTATTACTTTTAATGGTAAAAACTGCCATTATTTTTGCACCAACCTAATAATAGTTTCTCCTTTTCTCTGAAGCTAATTGGAGCAGGTTTCTAGTCCTTGTACTAGACTACCTTTAAGACATATCTGTCTCTCTTATGGGAAATCTTAAGGACTTCCAAATTAACATGCCTCATTACCTTCTTTCTCTCAGTTCCTGAAATAGGGTCTGACACAGCATTGGTGCTCAATAAATGTTTCTTCCCCAAATGAATAAACATACTCTTCAACTAATGACTAATGTCTTCATTTGTTAAGATGAGCACCAAAAAAGAAGAATTTTATCTCTTAGAACATGGAAAAGCTCAACAAAGGGGAAACATTGTTCATCTGCACTTCAGGCTTTTTTAAAGAAATGTGTCATGCGAAGGATTAAGGCTGCTTACGGCTATCTGCTGCTCTGCTCTGTCTGGAAAACTTGCGTG